CTAGGTATGGACTCCAGGCTGGAGCTGCATACTCCAGGATTGGTCTTACATAAGTGGTATACAGGGTTCTGAAAGATTCCTTACACAAGTTTCTGAAGGCAGTTCTTATGTTGGCCAGTCTAGCATATGGCCGCTGATGATATTCTTTTGATGTGGGCCTCTGGGGACAGGTGTGACATGTGACATACTAAACATACTAGTTTACCTTGAAAAGCTTCATAGAAAACACCGACCTTACCTAAGATAACGACCTATGCAGTCGTTATCTTAGTATGTTAAGATAAGCATCTTATTGCTTCGTAATTACAATTATTACTTGACCTATACCAGTAATAGGTTAACCTATACCAATAATAGGTTAAGTAATAATTGTAATTACGAAACAATCAGATGCTTATCTTAACATACTAAGAAGGTTAGGTAAGGTCGGTGTTTTCTATGAAGCTTTTCAAGGTAAACTAGTATGTTTAGTACGTCACATATGCACGTATTTAATAAGTCAATATTGACTGTAAGAAAGTGCAAGAACGGGTTGTACTGTAGTTTCAACCAGAATAGGGGTTTGTTTTGGTATGCTTGGGGATGCTTACCTTTCTGGGTGCCTGACCTGGTCGATGACAGACATAGAATGCTCCAAATCACATGTGCATTTCAATAGGCCATTGCTCCTCATGCCTTTGAATCTAGGTCATGGTCCCCGGTAGGCCCAAGAACTCCACCCCACACTGACCGATGCCAAAGCCTAATACTATATGCATATCAGCCTGGATAAGCTCCGGGGAGCCTCCAGGTCTCGCCTAGAAAATGGTGTTTCATTACATTCAACGCTGGTTTCTTTTTGCAGATGGGATATTGGAAGCACGAATTAGCAATGAATATCAGTCTTTATTAGAAAGTGAAGAAGGAAATGAAAATAAGATGTCTCTATCATCTGAGGCATTGGCTCTTAGATGCCAAGAATATCCTGCCCAGGGCAAAAATACAATGCACCATATTAAGAATAAAACCAGAAAACTAAAGAAGAAGAAGAAGAAGATGGAGGAGGTGATGGCTAAGGAATGTAATGAGAAAGTAATTACACACCATACAGGTGAATATTCTTCGAAGTTGGTTCAAGACATGTCTAGTAATTCAGATACCATGTTGGATGTAGTAACAGAAGTGGCTGCAAGCACTGGCAAAGACATTTTGTGTGATGTTCCACAAAAACGGAAGAATGTTGTAATGGACCAGTGCAAGAAGTTCATTCGCAGTGGCCGTGGAAGATATGACCTACGCTTTCAGCGGGAACTCGATGCTGAAAATAACAATACTTTGAACTTGACTCCAGATATCATGGTAATGTTGGTCTTTCTTTTCTTGGGAGTTGTACACAACAGTAGTCATTCAGAATAGTACAGATTTTGTACACTTATAAATATTAAAAACCATTACAGAACATTCTTTAATCATCTCAAGTTTTACCTTATTATGTTCTTGGCATGCATTACCAAGACCTTTGTGCAAAAATATTTAGTTCTATATATTAAAAAAAAATGGATATTTTAGGTTTTCACTTACTAAAAATTAGTAAGCCTTATAACATGTATCCTACAGAAGGCCATCACTTTCTGGGGAAAGCTCCAGTGGCTCCTGAAGCTATTTTGCTGAGATTGCTCGATGCTAAAAGGTTACATCGGTAGTGGAAGTTTTGTATGGTCTACCAGGGTGCAGAACCAGAGCCAGGCCCTCTCATAGAGGTGCAGGGAGCAAGTGGCAATTGTCCACGCTACCGGAAAAGCCCTGCAGAGAGTCGGCAAAGCGTTACAGACAACTGAAGGGTTGACATAAAATGAAGGACCGAAATCAGCAAATAATAATTCACATAGAGTAAAGGATTTACTCAAACCAGCTAAAAATGAATTATTATTTTATTATTTATATATACAAGAGTTCTTACATTCTTGTACAGCCACCAGCACGCGTAGTGTTTCGGGCAGGTCCTTAATCTTATGTTCGCCCGGAATACGACACTACAAATTGTTTAACAACTAGGTACCCATTTTACTCTTGGTTGAACAGGCTACAGTTAAGGATTGGCGCCCAGTTGAATCCTCTCCAGCCAGGTTATGAACCCAGGACAAAGTGCTCACGAAATGCCAGGAGTGTGTCTTAACCACTACACCACGGAGATGACAATCAGTAACAATTACCACCACAGGCAGCCTAGCTCCAGCCCTCAGTTGGCTTGCCATATCAGTCCTGTTTCTGATGTGGTGGACAATAGTTCTGCCTGTAATGTTATTGTCCACCAGTAATGGGCAAGCCCCATCTCTTCAACCTACCGGTAAGCACTGGCCATCGTTGGGCTTTGTCTTGCAGGGGCCATTTTCTTTTGTTGTTCTTTGTGTTGTGGTCACTTCACTTGTGTATTTTCATTCCAACTTCTTGTGTGGGCTTGGCTCTTATTGCATTTTGAGCTGAATTGGCTCAGCATTTTCTTCCCTGAATGTCTGCTAATGTTGCCCTTGCAAAGTCTGAGTTTTCTTCTCTGGCATGTTCAGGAGTTTTCCCAAGAGGTTTGGCCACTGGGATGGAAAGCCCCCCTTTGGCTAATCACAAATCATTGATTCCTCTATATGGGTCACCTGGCTGGGGGAATTCTTATGGTTGTGTAAGGATTTGTGTGCTTGTTTGCATGGCATGCCATGGTTGTCATTTGTAGCCTGGTTGCTTTTGAGGCATTTGGTGTTTGGAGTTTCTGTAGAATAGCTGCCTACAGGCCCAAGTAATACCCTTGTGGGTCTCTGGTGTGGTCCGTTATGGATTGGCCTGTTGAGCCTGCCCTCGCCAAGTGCAAGTTTGAAGAGTGAGCATTGTCTTTGCGACCTGACAATGATCATTCTTTGTCTCCGCCATGCTGCTTGCTGGGTGGGTGATGCAAGGGCAGCGGGTATTTTTCTGGTATTTATACTGGTATTTTCTACCAGTATAAATGATACCAGGTAGACACACATACAGCCCTACCCAGTGGCACCTCGACTTAGGACTGCCCCTACTTAGGAATTTTTCGAGTTAGGACGTAAATTTTATCGGAAAATGCGACTCGACTTACGACCTTTGACTCGACTAGTGACTTTGTTGACACACGTATGGGTCGACCGATCATGTGGTTCCTAGTGGTATGGCCGACCCCTCTTCTGTTTACCAGAGTCACTCACTTAGTGACGATTGTGCTTGTAAAGAATTTCATTATTTTGATTTTTTTTTTACATAAAAGTAATTATTATATATTATGCCCTGAGTCCCAAGAAAGTCAGTGGTAAGGTTCAAAGTGGCAATTGAAACTAAGAAAACACATGTGAGGATGACGATAGAGGAAAAACAAGAGATTATTCGTGAACATGAAGATGGTGTGCGGGTTATCTTGAGGGTTATCTCGAGATGATTTCAGGGCTTTAGTGTCCCCGCTGCCCGGTCATCAACCAGGCCTCCACCCCCAGGAAGCAGCCCGTGACAGCTGACTAACGCCCCAGGTACCTATTTTACTGCTAGGTAACAGGGGCATAGGGTGAAAGAAACTCTGCCCATTGTTTCTCGCCGGTGCCTGGGATCGAACCCAGGACCACAGGATCACAAGTCCAGCGTGCTGTTGATCTAGCTAGGCAGTACAACAGATCTATACCAGCGATATTCACAGTACTTGCTAAGAAAAAGTAAATTATGAGTGCTAAAGTGGCAAAAGGCGTATCAATATTCATGAAACATAGAACAGAAGCACGCGGATGTTAAAACGTTATTATTAATTTGGATACACAAGAAGTAGTTAGTGGGTGATAGCATTTCAGAGGCCATCATTTGTGAAAAAGCAAGGCTATTGCATGAAGATCTTATAAAGAAAACCATTGGAACAAGTGATGCAGATATGAAAGAGTTTAAGGCATGCAGGGGATGATTTGAGAAATTTAGAAAAAGAAGTGGCATTCATAGTGTTGTGAGAGTTGAGTGTTGTGAGTTGGTGTAGGAACACAGCAAAGAGCTGATCACCGAAGAACTCCTAGCCCTTCACAAGGAGCAGCACCAAGAGACAGCTGAGGAAATTTCTTCAGGGGAATAGGAAGTAGTACAGAATGTCTCTTCCTCAACAGTTAAGAAGTGGTGTGCAGTATGGGAAGAAATGCAAAGTTTTGTTGAAATGACTTGGCCAAATCAAGCTGCAGTAAGCCATTGCCTTAACCCTTAAATGGCACAAAACATATATGTATGTAGGGAGGAACTATCACGAAATGGCTCACTACATACAAGTATGTTTCAGGGTCTCGCGCACGATTTTAAATGCTCTGCGAGAGATAGGGGGCAGCTATAGTACAGCCACAGCTGATAATAAACAGAAGTGATGTTGGAAAAAGATCCAATCTAGGCCGTCATTGTGGAGAGGCCTTAGTTACCTGGCAGAGACCATGGCGAGCGCACCATGCACAAGCAGCTGACTGAGCTCAGTGCAGCATGCAACACAATCATTGACTGATGATGAAATAATCAGGAATTGTTCCAGAAGGGTGATGAACCACATATTGACGACTCGGACATAGATCAGGACTACACACACCCATAAGATCCTGAAACGACCAAGAGTGAGAATGAACAAGTGGGTGCCACAAGGGTCAGGCTGCCTATCCCCTCACCCTTGCCTCCTCGCCCACACTCAACCCAATCACATAGTTCGTGTTATTTTGCCAGATTATGAGGATTTGCTTGACGAGTCTTAGGAAGGTGAATCATTTCCTGGTTTTAGTGATTTAGTCAGAGAACAGTTTTACCACACTTGTTGCTAGTGCCAGTGGTTTTGCCAAGCGAACGTTTGTCGCGCCAGCAGCATCTCGCCCACCCAAGCGCCGCCGCGTGGCACTGCATGGTGCCAATGATCAATAATGCCCCCTCTTCATCTTCAAGGAATTTTCCCTCATCGTCCCTTCCCACCCCTACTGTGTAGATGGGCTTCAGCTCCTCGTCCACAGATTCCTTGCCATGGTGCTGCTGTTGCTGGTCGGAAAACAGCAGGTGTATATTTGTGGAGTGATGGGGAAGATTTTATTCCAGACATTCCCACCTTTGATGCTAAAGATGTTGGAATTGCATGCCTTTTCCCCTTGATAATGGTGACAATGTGTGTGAAGTGAACTTCTCTACCAAATATCTTGATGAGTCTCTCATGGAACATATTGTTCAGGAAACGAACAAATATGCAGCTCATTTCATTGCTGAGGAATTATCAGATTTTTCACGAATACAGTGTTGGAAAGATACAATTGTAGTTGAAATGTATGTGTTTTCTGGGGTGAGCCCCGTCGGCTCCCCGGAGCTATCCAGGCTGATATGCCTGGATAGCTGGCAGGAATATTTTGATGATATAAATGCACTACTCTCAGCACAAGGTACTGAACTATCGTTTATTATTTTAACAGAAACCTGGCTAAGTAAAGACCATACCCAACTATTCAACTTAGCTGGTTATAGAGCCATTCACAACTGTAGGCCTAACAAAAAAGGAGGTGGCACAGCCATATACTAACCAAGATACCTTCACCTACAATAGTGTCATTAGTGATAGAGATGACTGCTGTGAATTTACTCTTGCTCAATTTTCAATTAAATCCCTTAAATCCTCCTTAGCTGTTGGAGCCATTTTTAACACTTTCGCGCTCTCGGCGAAGGTCACTCAGCCAACCGTATGTGCGCGCGGCGTTTTTATCGCTTAAGCGTAAAAACAAAAATGTGTATACTCTTTTTACTTTTCTGACCTTAGTTTTCATGCTACGTATTTCATTTTGGTACCAACGTGTTCGCAATAAAATTCTCTAGAAGAACATCAGTAAAAAAAGTCACGAAAGCTATAGAGATACCAGCATGAAATAAATAACTACGAAGATGAGTCGCCGTGAGCGCTCAACAGCAACAAAATGTTTTTACTCTTGGGATTATTATCACCTCTACAATTGTCCTACAGCCTTAATTTTGGTATCAATGGACTCCCAATAAAATTCCCAACACGGTGATATGAATATAATCGTAGAATAATGGTCCCGGCCCACCCGCAAGAGTGTGGGAAGTGGGCGCACTGTTACCCGGTAACGGTGACCGGACGACACACGCGCGAAACGTTGCTTTGAAAGTTTATACTTATTTCACTGTTCTGATATTATTATTGTATGTATGTCATTCATTTTTGTGGCAATGTTTTCGCAATAGAATGTTCTATGAGCTAAATTATACTACACAAACTTGGACCAAATAGGTGTACTTACCAAGGGAAGGCTGGTTGTGGAACAGTAAGTTGAGCATTTGTTCTTCACTCCACCTTCTTCAGGTTCTTCATTCCTGAAGTTGCTCAACAGATGGTTTGTAGGTGGAGTGAAGCTGTTGCGGGTGGTTACTTCTTCACCACCCAATACACCTGTTTCCGG